AATTTAAACGATTTGCCAAAGTTGCTCAGAAAGTAATCTGATCCTAAGATAGTGTCCTTCCACTTGTACTACCCCTATAGCCTGAAAGTATACCATTAATCTATGTCCTCCTTTATAACTTGGAGTCACACATGAATCATGCTGTTTCAGTTATGTTGTCTAACTCGATTTCTAATATTGTCATGGATTCTACCCCTAGTTCAGCCTAAGTGCCCCACCTTAAATCACAGAGTATTAAAGATGCTGGATCATTTCTACAATGTTATCTCTAAGCCTGATGAACCGAGAAATTGCTAGACTACTTTGTGCAACATTACAATGGCACTGCTATAACATTATACACCAAATCCAGAATTTGCAAAGATCAAAAGTTGATAGCAAACTACTCTAGGAATCACAATCTGGAAAAATGAAATTTAGTGCTATGAACCATGCTGTTCTCAATAGAAATGTAAGTTCACTCCTGTAAATTTTCTCTTTGTGAAAGTAGATTACTTTGATCTGTTTTTAAGCAAGATGTACATTACCTTCTAAGTTAGCCATTTCTGTTACCCAGCTCTTACTTTGAGTTTTCATGTAAATCTGGGTCTCACATTAAAAAGAAATGTACACTGAAACTGAAAATCTGCTCTGGAACATAATTAATTGCTTTTCTAACATTTTTCTCACATGCTACCCTTTTCAGCAGGAAATGGTAAGAAATATGACTCACTTAAAATTTCAATGACTCTTACTGCAAAAAAAAAAAAAATAAACTTAAGAAAACCAAAGTTGAAATTAAAATGAAAAACCATGAACCCTTTATAAATGAGGACCACTCTTGTCTTTCTTAAATAATTCAAGAATATAGCAATGTATTACATGCAATTTGGTTGACGAATATTATGAATAATTGAATTGGTATTAAGTCAAGTAATTATTTAAAAGATATTTTCAGAAACTTTAAATGATTCCTTTTCTAAGGCAAAATATCTGACTTTTGACTGGGAAAAAGATTGAAGAGCTTAGGAAACAAAATTCCTGTGGGATGAAAGGCAGCTTCTGCATTGCTAAGGGACCCATATAGTGTCAGCCCATAGTTCTTCACACGTGCCCATATCCTGTTCTTCGACGCTAATAAGAAGGGACAAAAAACTCTTTCATTTTCTAGTCTCTGTTTCCCAATCAGCCACCAATTCATGTTAATGCAAAGATAGCCAAGGTTAGCTGCAAAAAAGTTTCCAGAAACTCATCGGAACTACTCAATGAGACTTGGGCAAGTGACTTATCATTGCAAATTCATGAATAATAGCCAGAGAAATACTACCAACTCTGATTTTTGCAGCATTGTATTAAAGAAGAAAATGAAAACAATGACATTCAAGAAATTCCCTGCTACTATTCAAGTCTGCATGAGAATATCTATTCAAAAGATAATGAGAAGCTATGGTCATTCAGCCAAACAAGTGAGCCACTTTATCATGGGCCAGCTTGAAGATATAGTTATACATCACTTAAAAATGGATAATAAAACAATATCATAATGTCTGCTTGCCCTCTGTCTGGCTCCTGGAAGCTATTTGAAAGAATATCTTTCCAATGACATCCAATAATTCTTGAGGAAAATTTTTAGATCCTGACAGGCACTCAAGTATCCCAGCAGGAGACATTGGGTTTCTGGTTTCTGTTAGGTAGCATCTTACCCTATGATCACAGCCAAATTTTACAGACTTCCTCCCAATTCAATCATGACTGCTGAAAAGAGAATGAGTAAAAGTGTATCTCTCTTCTTATTAAGGTGTATGCAGAGACTCTGGAATCTCCCTCATATTCTCAAATATTTTACTCCTCAATTAAAATCCCCCAAAATTATTTTATTCATATTACCTTTCTCTGGGCTTTTTGCAGGATGTGTTCAGCGCAGTTGACTGTGGCTCTGAAGCGGGATTTTAGCTTCGTCTTGTGAGTTCTCAGTAACTGCAGTTAATGAAGTCCTCACCTGTTTTTTATACCAGCGGAGTGTTTCCACCAGCATCTAAGCCCTGGGATCAACAAGAAATTCCATCCAATGATTGAAGGGTACTTGGTGTAATTACCATGACGTCAATTTGATCGTATCTTGTTTCAACCTTTAGGTCATTTTTGTTTTGAGCCATTTTCAGGTGATGGTGACCACAAGGTCAGCCTATGAAAAGAGAGTACACTGTCATTTTGTACGTAATTTTACTGAGCCTTACACATAACATCCTGAAATTTGACACTTTCACATAAACAAGAGACATTTAATTAGCTAAGTACCTGATATTTACCTAAACAAGAGCTACAGATTTCAGAAAATAGATATAGAGCATTTCCAGGCTTATACCACTATTTCACTAGGAAACAGAAAAATAAAACACACGCCTATTTAGACTTTTCTAAAATTAATGTGCATCTGAATTTAATAAAGATGCATGAGAAAGGTATGAGGCAATTCTAAGAAGGACTGAATGGTTTTCAATATACATGCCTGCTTTTTTGTTTGTTTATTTGTTTGTTTTGTTTTGTTTTGTCATTTCACTTTTAAAGCTCAGTTTCTGCCTGAACAGAAAATGTGTATGTCATGGCTTGCCAGGTGTGGGACACTTAGTTCCAAGGTTCCCAACCCAGTGTCATCCTGAAACTTGCACAGCTCTTCAGACTACTGTGGCTTCTTTTTTGCACACAAAGATTATAACCCTTCAAAAGTTCCCATCTTTATCTACTCTGCTCAGTGCCACTTCTGCAAGGAACTGGCTTACATACAAATTACCAAGGACCTCTTCAGCGAAGAGTTTAGAAGGTCTGTGTGATGCAAAAAGTAACTCTTATTTAACATAAAGAAACTTACCAGAGAAAGAAAAGTTGTTTTGTGATTTATTTTCTGTGATAAACAAATTTGTTTAGGTTCTTACACCTTTTCAGATTTTCGTTGTTTCCTTCCAGTATGCCCCCCCAACCATTCATGTTTTCTTAGTGATGTTTCTTTTTGGGGGGCAGGTGGGGGAGATGGAATCTTGCTCTGTTGCCCAAGCTGGAGTGCAGTGGCACAATCTCACTGCAGTCTACACCTCTCAGGTTCAAGCGCTTCTCCTGCCTCAGCCTCCGAGTAGTGGGGACTACAGGTGTGCACCACCACGCCTGGCTAATTTTTGTATTTTTAGTAGAGACAGGGGTTTCACTATGTTGGCCAGACTGGTTTAACCCCTGACCTCAAGTGATCCACCCACCTCCACTTCCAAAAGTGCTGGGATTACAGGCGTGAGCCACCATGCCAGGCCTTTCTAGTGATGATTGATGTCAGCATTATTCAAGAATTTCTATCATTTAAATATCAACCAACTGGCAGTATATTTTCAATGTAGCAGACTTATTTTGGCAATCTTTCCATTTAGGCATTTCACTCTTCTTTGTTCTATTTTTTCTCTTTCATTCGTGCCTTTTTTCCATCCTTTTATTTCTTTTTTATCTGAATGACTATGTAGAAACAATGTTTCTAGGATGCTCTTATTAAATTATTTTGTTTGACTTATGATTTCGTAGTGGATTTTATTTTTATTTCACATTTCTATGTAAGAATTATGAATATTATGGAATTCTTATGAAAATTTTTATAATTTTTGCAGTTTAGTGTTTTTTAATTTTTTAATGATGTGGCTACATAAATAATAGAAAAGTCAGTTCCTTTCACACCTGACTTATCTTCCCCACGCCCTCAATTCTTCTACTCAGAAGCAATGTTTCCAGTTTCTTTCTTGTTTCTGCACTCTAAGTATGTATAAACAAATTATATTTAAGTCCCCATCCTGTTGAAATTCTCCTTAAAATAACAAACAGAACATAAATATTAGAGGAACCCCTGCCTTTGTGCTTAGAGAATCTCTGTTAGTATGGTATAAATTAGACTTCTCTGTACTTCTACAACAAACATATATTACTTTCATAATTGGGGAAAGTAAAAACAAAAACATGTTTTTAAGTTTCACTATTTCATGTGGTTGCTTCCATTTATTATTGACAGTTTTATCCCATATCTGATAGCTCTATTTTCTTTACTCTGGATAAGAGCAGGTTTGGTGGGTGAAGGATACAAATACCACTCCTGTCATTGACAGTTGCCTCCCAGCAGCTAAAGTTTGAAGTGTCTGTCACCAAAACGATAGACTGGCTGAAAAACTGGGATGACACAGGGCAACTCACCACCTTTACTAGGCAAAGTCCTGAGAGCCCTGTAGAGTATACAGGTCAGGGACTTCTTGCAAAGCAGTATGACACAGTTAAATATGTACACGCTACACTAAATACATGAATTTTTTTCTTAATGAAGTTTTGTCATTTACATGCTGAATTTTTTTTAAATAACCATCTCTGTAAATGTTTCATATGCTTACTTGGTTTGTTTTTTTCAACATAATTTGAACTTTCTAATAGCAAAATATGATTATCACAGACATTATGCTGTAATCAGAACAGCTCAGGTATGTAAAATCCTTGCATTTCCAAGTGGCTTTTTCTTTGGTAGTTTTAATGATACATTACACAATTTTAAATTTTCAAGTAGTAGAAAAGTATATACAATGAAAAATAAGTCATCCTCTTACTCCAAAATCTTTAATTCCATTCCCAAAGGTATTTATTTTTAAAAATTTCTTAATGTTTCCAGAAATTTACTATGTATATACATACGTTTTCTGGAGGTTTGTTGTATACAAATAGAAACACAAGATACACAGTGTTTAGTGCCTTGCCTTCTTTCTTTTTTAAAAAACAAAACAATGTATCTTGGTGGTTTCTTTCATATCCAAATGTGCGGATCTAACCCCACTTTGAATATTACAAAATATAAGGGGCCATTAATTATTTAACTAGCACTCTAGTAATGATCATTTGCATCATTTCCAGTTTTTAAATATTATAAACAATATTATAATTATCATCTTGCTCTGGTTACATATATAATTATAGTTCTAGAATAAGTTTTTAGAAGTGGAATTGTTGGATCAAAGAATATGAGTATTTTAAACTTAAGTAGAAGTTGCTCAGGTACTCACTCTTCTCCACCCCTCCTCAAAGTTAATACTACAAAATATGTTAATTTTTGTTGAACTAACGGATGAAAAACAATACCTTATTTTTATTTGCACATAAATAATTTTGAGCAGGACTGAACATCATTTCATAAGTTGTGGTCATTTGTGAATTTTTTTCTGTGAACTGCCTGTTCAAAAATCTTTCTCAAGTTCTTAATTCTGTCTTTAAGTTTGACTTTTGACTCTTTTATGGTAGTTTTACAATCGTTTTTATGTAGTCAAATTTATGTATCTTTTACTCTTAGACTTGCAGAGTTTATGTAATGCCAAGATACTAAAAAGAAGTGCCCATACTTTATTCTAGACTGTACACAGTTTTATTTATTTTAGGGTGAGCCCTTTAATTCATCTGTAATTTATTTTGGAAATGAAGTAGAAATCTAGCTTCTTTTTAAACCTAAATGACAAGCCAGTTGTTGTAATAACATATATGGTATAATCAACTCTTCTTTCTCCACTAATTTGGAATGCTACTTACTTCCTAAATATTTTGAGGTCTATTTTTGGATTCTCTATTGTTGTGATCTATATTAATAAAAATGTTCAATCAATAATAATTAAATATTTTAAATTTGCTTAGATTATTATTAGCTGTAATTATCTAGTGTCTCTTTATTAAGTGTATCAACCAAAGTTGAGAAATTAGACATAAATCATATCATTAACTTGCTAACAGTCTGGTTACTATAAATTAGAAGCACTGAAATTTTCCCTCAACATTTTCTTTGACTTGTCCTGAGGCTCGTAACACCCTAATTTTCTAATCTTTACTTGACTCTTTAATGGTGTGTAGCTGTGTTTCCTGAAGTACATCTCATGTTTCGTCTAAAATCAGAACTACTAGGGTGTGGTTTAAAATACAGATTCCTGGGTCCCATCCTACCCTGGTCCTTCTGGACCAAAACCTCTCTCAGTTGATCCCAGAAATTTGCATTTCATCGGTCAAAGCTTGAGAACTGTGACTGCATAACATTGTTTTATTAAACAATACAGGAATTAAGTAAGGAGCAATATGGTTTGTTTTCATCTTCAACTGTCCCCTGTAGCACAACTAAATCGAAAATGGTAAAGTTATTTGTTTAGTTCTGTGAGCCTCCCCTCTGTACAAACAGCTGAAACATCCTGCTCTAAGAATCTATGAGAAACAGCTCAAAGCACCAAAACAACTATCCCCTGGTCACAAATACCAAAACAGGCAACAGAAAATTTCTTGATTGAGATTAGGTTTTTAATCAACAGCAACAGATAAGGTGACTGACAGTCAGAAAGAATCACCTGAGATGTGACGTCTAACACAGTGGCAGCAACAAAAGCTCCCTACAACTGATGGACAAGAAGCAAACTGACTTGACACATGTAAAGCAGCCAAGAATATTCTCTGCTATTTCAGTCAAAACAGTGTGGTCTAATCAATAATGCAAACATCCTGTTTCTCAAGCTAACAACCTCTGTCACTGGAACCCTCAGAGAGATAAAGAAACTGCTGGTACAATTATAGTTAATCTTTCTCTAGTCTGAAACGTCAATAGACTAGGCAAATAATACTGCCAAGAAAGGGAGAAAAATCTCACAGGCAAAAAGTAATTTGTTTAACATTTTTTCATTTCTTTTTGCTTTGCACATGTCTCCTCCCACTTCCATTTCAGAAAGCTTTCAGTAATGAACTATGAAAGGATTCATGGGAGAAACAGGTTGTGTACAAGAAGGAAAGAGAAGCAATTGTATTGATAGAATTGTTCAGTTTTATGTATATTGCAGGATGGGGAGGTGAAAGAGTAGATGATGAAATAACTTCCTACCCTAATTTTGCAGGGGAAGTCTCATGAGATCTTTCATGTTGTATGGGTTTGCCTAAAGATATTCATCCTTAAAAAGCTGGCCTATTTTGCCATGAGAGGTAAGGGTACTACATTCAGAACCTCTGGGTATTCTTTCTGAGTATCTGTATAAATGGCCATGTGGAGCTTTACAGATAGTGGAAGAACTTGGTGGGAGAGAATCAAAGCCACTTTTATTAAAGGAAGGAGATTTCCTTTGGATGATGCTTTTGGTGTTGTTAAAAGAAAACTTCAGATAAATCAGATTTGATGGAGTTTAACTGAGCAAAAAGAAGCAATCATTCACAAGTCGGGCAGCCTCCAGAATCACAGCAGATT